CTAGGGTACCTCCCCCATTATGGTGTTCCTGAACCCTCATAACCCTCATTGTTTTATGAAGCAAAACTATGAACCCCATATGTTCATGATGTTAATATATTACTTTGTAAGTATTTAGGTTTTTACAAAATATGTGCCTTTTTCAGTTGTAAAGTTTATTCATATTAAATGATTTAATTCAGCCACATATGAATCATTTTATCAAGCAAATTCATTAGGGGATTTTAAATCATCATCAGCAATAGCACAACTGCCAAAACACACTGCCTGTAGGAAGCAGCTCCAAAGAAGTTGAGAAAGCCTTTAACTGATAAAAGAGCACGTTTCAAGTGAAGCTCAACATCAAATAAATTAATTTTAACCAACACAACAGCATTGCCATAACCATATATTGGCATTTCCAATATCACTTGTTATTTGATTCTCACCTCCAATGATGGCAAATATTATCTTCAAGAATTTTTTTTAATTTAAAAGGAGAACAAACTTGAAGCTCAGTAAATACGTGGCATTGGATGCTTCTTCTGAAAAAGCCCTGAACAAATCGGATGAAAATGATTAATTAACGTGGACCTGCACAGTCTGCAGCAACCATCTGGCGTTAGACATCCTGATGTATGAAAGGCATTGTCACTTTTATCATGATATTCCACCGATTTAAATTGAACTCATTAACGCTGGCGGGAAGAATGGACATCCCAACAGGCAATATCCTGTATGACGCTTTCCCCTTCCTTTCACTTTCCCTGATTTCCACTCCCTCATTCTGCAGGTCCCCCAAAAGTAGCAGCAGTACCTTCTTTTTACCACTAGATGGCAAATGGGGCACTAAAGAGATCCATCAAAGTAGTACCACCCTCTGAATTATTCCTGCTAATTTATTTTTTTCCAATGAAAACACATTTTGAAAGAGGGTCACTTTTTACAGCTTTAAAAAAGGCTAAATAAGCTTTTATTACTGTAAAGTGTTTTTCCCTCAGGAAAACAAAACACTATAATGAAAAAAAAAACAGTTTGCACACTGGTGAGGGAATTAAGCTTGTAAAATAAATGTTGCAGATTTCACTCCTGGGTTAGGCGCTGATGTCATACTCTTTGAGAAAGATAATAAAACGAACGACTTGCCACAAGCAACATCCATTTGTATAAAGGCATCAAAAACGATATGCAAGTCAGCCTGGATACAGGAATCTGAAAAGCATATAAAAAGTTTTAAGAACAAACATTTAGTTAAATATGAACAAACAGAAGATTTGATGTCCTGTATTTGATAGGCATTTCCTAAAATTGGAATGGAAGATAAGTCAATCCAGTGGGACACCAAAGTGGAGAAAACACCAAGTGACATCCATGAGATGATAAACACGGTCCACGATGTCTTTCATTCAACTAGCAAGTCAACTACCTTGGCTACTGTAAATCTATAAAGTGACTGTCAAATGACTGCACCCACACGGTGTCATAATTTCATCAGCTTTGAATGTTCCACAGATGGAACCTTGCCTTGTAAAGAAAGCACCAGAAAATGCTTACCACAAATTGCCCACCTGCCACAAAATGCCTACCTGAGGCCACGATGATTCCGGGGGCGGAGTCTTTGCTGGCTATGTTTCCTGATGTGTACGGATTGTCAGACACATGCAGGTGTAGGTGCAGTGAGCAGTACGGCTGGGAAAAAAAAACACAGGGGATGATCAGTCAGAAAACTCAGACTGTAATTCAGGTGCATCTTACCCTCAGGTTATCTTACCCTCAGTCCTCATTACATGGCTGATATCAAACGCTCATCGTGTCGGCTCAGAAGTACGCAAATCTCCGCTACAAGCCTCCGCCACACACACACACACACACACACACACACACACACAGAGCTGAAGGGATGACCCCATCATTAATTTTGATTAGAATAACCTTTACTGACACACTTCTCATTATGAAACGGAAAATGCCAGTGGCAAGAGCCCGTTGTGATGAGAGCTGAGGGGTTTAATAACACTTTGGCATTTTCTGGCAAATAGCTGCGGTGCGGCATCAAGGCAAGCCACAACACTGCGCCCAGTGTTTGTTTATAAAAGGGTGATTATTAATATGTGCAGCACGTGGGTTAAAGCGGGTCATTCCATGTACCGTTCAGAATTTGATGAGATCAACATATCAAAAGCTTTTAACATCACAGGAGAAAGTAAAAAAAAATATATATATAATGACCACATCCATTGATTTTACGCTTTTAGCATGATCTTTTAGACAATGTTGGCACATGTGTAATGTTATTACAAATAATATAATATAAATTACTACTTAATTACTATTATATAAATAACATTAATGCATTTATATTATTATAATACATAAGTAGTGCTGTTTATTAAAACTGAGGACATTAAACCTTTTACATCAAAGATAATATTTGTCCACAGAACCACAAAATATACAGGAGATGGGGGATCTACGATGCCCTCGTGTGGTCAAAATAATGGCCTTCTAACATCACACTCCTCTTACTGCGATGTGTCACCGGCTGCCACTGCAGGAGCCTGTGAGTCTAATCCCGGTAGAGTCTAAGAAGTGACCTTTCAGTTATTTACTTGCTGAGATTTTACAGGAAACTTGTATTCAAAACTTCATTAAGAGTCTACATAGACAAATCAACAGCAAACAGACAAGCATAATGGCATTACACAATACAATTCAGTACATTCAACACTACAACTGCCATCATAAGAGACATTACTCCATCACACAGGATATTCATAAAGTTATTGAGAAATATCTCATGTCTTGGTAATCATTTGATGTACAATTTAAGTCGTTACACAGTCTGCATATTGTGTTGTGGGGTGGTTCTTAGTATTAAAGCTCATTTTCTATTTTCTATTCTTCCTAAATTCAAGATATCTGACAGCTGGTCACAACTACATTAAAAGCAGCCATCTACAACAGAAATGCGTGAACATCAAGAACACTTCACTCATTGACTTTTTAAAAACCTTAAAACCCTCCGCAGTTCCGTAATTACCAATGGCATTTTTAAATTTTTTTTTTCAAATGGAACTCTGCGTCAAACAGTGCATTGATTAGATGTGACTTTTCAACGTTAGTGTTTGATGTCATCATTGATTAGATTTTCTCCATCAACAACCGTCCCTCTTTGCAGCGGGTGTCTGATTAACGCGCTGCCAAAAAGGGGGCTTACGTTTGAAGCACCCAACCAAGGCGCAGTGGCCGCCTTTTTCTGTTCTCATCACTCCCGCGTTTCTGCAATCTTCAGCTGCCGCACTCGCAAATCCTTTGTCTCCAGCTGATACTCAGACAGGCTTAGATTCCCATGATGGAAAAGAAAACACAGCTTTGATATTAGAATTTTGAAAATTAAATCCAAACTACTTGGCAACTAGTGAAACGGAGGTCTCGGGGAAATGGTTTCTTTGTAACCGTAATTATTTATTTAGACTTTATACGCTTCTCTTCATTTCGGCTGTAATTGTTTCTTTCAGCCAGCAGAAAAGAGTAAAGAGGGTCTGATGAATTAGATGTCTTTTACTTAGGTGCTTTACTGGGACCAAATTAGATCTATATTAAGGTGTTTAGACTGGGTCAAAGTCTGCACCTTTAACTTGTAGCTGTCAGTGAGAAGCAGTGGTCAGTTTGAAAGCACCAAATGCTAAACCTATTTAAAATTTAACACAACTTTTGGTAACACAGATGCACACTTACCAGCATGCAATTTATGCTGTTGCCTCTCAGGTCTGTGGCAGGAGCTTGCAGTAAGTGCCAGTCTCGGCCCTTGTTGTAGGTGATGTAGGTCTTCACTTGGTTATCAAGCTTTTTGTTTGCCAAGAACATTCCTTTTATCCCTGCTACCTGGGAAGAACGGAAAAAGCTGAAAAATGCATCAGTCTTAAATAATTCCGCAGCAGAGCAGCTGCGCAAAAAAAACATCCGTTTAAAAGAGCGACACATAAATAGTGGAAGCGGAGTGGAATTTTGTTTGAAACTGTAAATTCTTTTTTTATCCTTCTGAAGGACTCATACTCAGACAGCAGACCATATGTAGGGGCCAAAAGGCACTTCCTGCACTTAAAGGAAGCAGCGCTCTGAGATTGTAGGTAACTTCAGCACTGAAAAGCACTGGGCAGTTTAGGCTATTAGAACATGCACTGCCTGTTGGCAGCAGTGATACGACTCCGCAACCTCCAATAACTAAGGCTGAGGCTGAGCTAAGTTAGTACTTGATGGAGGATCTCCTGGGGAAACCTGTTTGGAACCAGACATGGTGCTGGTAAGCCAACAGTGGGCAGTTAGCTCTCTAGATCTAAAATAAGACTAGTGTAGTGATACAGACACTGTGCTGTAGGAGGTGCTGTCTTTTGGATGAGATTTCAAACTGAGGCCCTGACTCACCATTGTTATGAACAGTTTGATAATGTTTTCAAAAGAGTAGGGGTGCTGAATCCCCTGGTAACCAAATGAAAAGTCTGGCACTTTCAGTCTGGTCACCTGATCACCCCCTTACAAACAATTGGCTACAAAATTCCCTGCATTCCTCAACCCTACTCCACATTTCCACAGGCTGTCACACGGAAGGATAAATTAGGCTCCATCCATCTTAAATAAAGGTTCAAGGAAAAACCTGTCAAACCAAATTGCGGATATTATAACATCTGTGTGACTTGTAAGAAGCACTCTTTTTTCAGTATAAAATATAAAATCTATGATCTTTTTCCAACATCAACTTGTAATTTCTGACTGGTCCAGAAATGTCATGTGACAATCATATAACAGTGAGGTACAGTATGTCTGTAGAGAAAAAGAAAAAAACTCACATTCATGCAGTGATCCTGTCGAGAGCAATCTCAGTCCTGATTTTGACTGACATGTGTAATCAACGTAAAAAGCAAACTCTTCAAAAATGTAAATAAGCAAGCAATAAAATGTCTAGAGGGTAATGAGATTTTAATTGTCTGTAGAATGGATGGCAGTTTTAAATGATGGTGGGCAGCAGTGTGGTATAGTGGTGAGAACCTGGGCTTGTAACCATAAGGTTGCTGGTTCGATTCCCCACTGGGCTACTGTGAGCCCCGTAATGTAATGTAATGTAGCCTGCTGTACCCTTGGGCAAGGTACTTAACACCACAACTGACTCAGTATATATCTAGCTGTATAAATGGAAAAAATTGTAACCTATGTAAGTTGCTCTGGATAACAGCATCTGCTAAATGACATTAATGTAACGTATTGAACTACATCTGTGCGCGCGCACACACACACACACACACACACACAAACACACAAAACTGCATACACCAACGAGCTGCCTCAATCAACACTGGGCACCCACAACAAGCAAGCTAGAACAACCGAGCCAAGCCTCATCTCCCTACCCTAAAAATGGCCTAACATGGACACCGTAGCACTCGCAATAGCTTTGAGAGACCCGTGCTCGTCGGCAGCTCAGTCAGCCGTTTGCCGTGGAACACTTTGCCGCTAACTGAGGCGGTTCGGAATGCTACATACCTCATAGAGATCAATCATGACATTGCCCTCAGGTCCCATGCTGCTCATGACGTTTTCCAGAGCCAGAGTGAAAAGGACCCCTCGGGTGTCTGACACGTACAGGTTGTAGGTGTCATTCTGATTCCACTCCTGCACTGCAGCCACCACACGGTTTTCATCTGTGCTGATTACATGCAGGTCCTCGGAAAAAAAAAAAGAAAGGAAGAGGCAAGCGAGTCTCAGACCTGCTGCTGTCGAGAATATCGAAGAGTTTCAGATGAGCACCATTGTTGCCGAGAGATATTTCGGGCATGTGCACCTCAGAACTTCAGAAATGACAGTTTTTTTTTTTTTTTTTTTTTACTCAAAACATATTTAATTAAAGCCGGAAACGGGTATATCTCTCAGCAGTGGTTTCAAAAGCAGCAGTACCAAAGTTTTGTTCACTTTCTGTCACACAGAGGAATTATGAATATTAATCTTGTTTAGGATTTGCCCTTTGAGAAAGGAGACTAGATTGTTCTGGAGGGCATAACCCTATTAATCATCAGAACCCAAGCTAATTTGCACAAATCCCACATCTGGATAATCTATTACAATGCACAGATATTATTCTCATTATTTTATTTTTTTCTGTCAGCCAGCACAGCATGGAGGAACGTTTGTGATCTGTAGATTTCCATCTCTGTGAGACTGCACTGGAGTTACCTGAGATCTAAATACACAGAATTGACTCACATTCGGCGGATTTGGAACCGTGTTGCTAAAGGCAAGAAGCAGATTAAAATGTACTATTTTCTCTAGAGATAACAGCAGCCCTGATTGATGCTGTCACCCGTTTGGCCGAGCTTAATAGATGTAGACAGACAGATAGACAGAGACAGATAGACAAACAGACAGGCAGGCAGGCAGGTGGGTAGATAGATAGATAGATAGATAGATAGATAGATAGATAGATAGATAGATAATCACAGTATCATAGTGCTTTTTTGACCAAGAGGGCCACTAGTTAGTCATCAAAACCAATATACTGTATATGGCTAAAGAAGACAGGAAATACAACCAACCTTGGGAGTTAGGGCAAGAGTGCAAAATAAATGTTACTGCTAAAAATTTATATTATTTGAGGCCTACTTTATTCACAAATGGAATTTCACATTCTCAACAGCAAAAACAGCACAAACAGCATGTGCGGGATTCTGTTGGTGCGGCATTCTCCAGCAGGGCATGTTTGGTGGTTTGGGAACAGGGTGAAAACAGAAGAGAACTGTGACTGTCACATTTTTATTGTTTCTGACTAGTGGGGAAAGCAAAATATACCTCATATTCACAGGAATAGAAATGTAGTTGTCACTTTTTTTTTTCTTTTGTGTTCTTTTGGGAGAGAGTGTGTTACCTTTGGAAAAGAATACTTCGGCAGTCTCATTGGGGTGAAGGCATCCCTTTTGTAGGACACATAGTACACTGGCCGGCCCCCCGTTGATACCTGCAACATTTATATAACTCTGTTTGATCCTGTATTAAACTCACCTGTGCACATCCACCAAAGCGTTCGACATCATATTCTTAGATGCTGTTTTTGTTGTTTTTTTTTTTTTTTACAGAATCAGTAGAATCTAAAACCAAGCAGTTGATGGCTAACCATGTTATTCAAGGTTTTTGATAAAGACGGCCTTCAAAATATTAGTCAAACTTGGAATTCTTTTAACAGCAAAGGTTTTATGGTTGGGACATTTCTACTGATTAACAGAAGAGGACATTTAGAGTTCTTTCTTCTAAATCATGAAGGTGGGCATATTTTTTCTTCTTACAATTACTGAATCATATCTAACTCAAAATTTCTTTACAGTCAGGCGCATGAGTTAGAGCAATTTCTGCCACAAACACCGGTTTATTCTAGAAGATCTGGCTCTGCGCTGGCACTGAATGCTTACACTGGCCCACAGACACCTAACATGATTACCAAGAGGGACATTTCAGCGCAGCCAACTGTATGACACCCAGCATAAGGTGAATGAGCCTCAGAGTGTTTAAAGAGACGCACTGGAGCCAATGGGGAAAATACAGAGTAGTAGTACCACCTAGTAGTTTGGCGACTGAGGGGGCTGTTCAAACTTAAGGTGGCAACCATATTTATTCAACGGTCCTGTTATGATCGCCTGTATGAATGGATCTATATTCAGTGTAGCCCTGTTAGCTAGCTACCTTTTCCAATTGTATCAAATATCAGTTTGACTGAACTGACATGTTGCTTGCCCCTGTCAAACACATATTCAAGCAATGGTTGTAGTTAGTTTTGTATATTGGTGACTGTTGAATTTTGAGTTAGACAAGCTCTTGGAACATTGAATTATTTATAAAAATAGCTGACGTTAACAATTAATATTTTACTTCGGTAACAGGAGCAGGATGTAGCTTGAGCACAAACTGCAAGAGTAAAAACAAATATTTGCATATGTACTTCTTGAAAATTAAATATTGTCCTGTGGTTTATTATTAATCAGACAGGCTTCCCAGCAGAGGTAGAACAAAAAGTAAGAACAATGTGAAAATCAGGATAATTTTACCTAATATTTTGAGGGCAAAAACATTCCATTTGCTGGAATCAGTTATCCATCCAATGGGACTTAAAACAAATCCTCACAGGCCCTTGATATGATAGCTGGCACAGGTGAGAGCCAAGAGTGGCAGTGTATATTAGACTTCATTATCTGCTGATTAACACCACCATGATTTCATTTAATGAATTAATTATGATTGAGTCAATTTAATTGCATTTTTATGCTTGATAATATCTGCCCTATGGCATCTTAAAAAAAAAAACATCTTTACAGTAAAAGATTAATTCAATCAATCGGGGAATTATTAAATCATTAAGCTGGTGTCCACATGTCACAGACATCGCAAAACAATATTGTCTAGCTTTTCAAGGTTTTTATCATTAATTCACTCACAGATCCTGATCAGAATAAAACTCTGTGAGCTGAATTTGATCTCCATTTAAGCTCCATTTTTAGCTGTTTGCAGGGGCACAAAGCCATGGTATTTTTGGAAAAAAAATCAGCAAATATAAAAAAGTGAATACGTCAAGGAGCCCAATCTTCTAACTGAACAGAATAAAATGAATCGGCTCTGTGAGGGGGAAAGACCAGTGACAGTGAATCTGAAGACACCCCATGCCTTATTAACATTATGTCAGGCTTTAATGGGTTAATGTGCCTATTATAACCACATCAACCATCAGTACAGACAAAGAAATGGTTGTTATAGGCTGAGATAGAGGAAAAGACCTGCATACATTTCCCCACAATCCTATAAGGTTCTAATGCTAAAAAGCAGCCAAATGATTGGATTAAAGGGCTAATATCCCATTGGTAGACCAGGTGACTGTTTTAAAGATGGCAGCGCAAGTTTCCCTGAGAGTGCTGCTGCCATTATTGTTTATGGGATAGACTTGTCTCCAGGGTCTGGGGGACTTACATGACATATTATTTTTGACAGCATACTATAATGAGCTATAACAGTAACTGGAGTCAGGAAATTCTTTTTTGGTTTTTTTGTTGATATTTCTTCCACCATTTTACATGGCGTAAATAAAATGAAATAAATAAAATCTGTCTTTTCTCAATTCAACCTTTTCCTCATTACCTGTCGACCCTGAGACCCACCCCAATTACAGCGTGTGTTCACAGTGCCCCCGGGTTACACCAGCCAATAAGGTATATTATATGACAGCTTTCAGTGTCGGAGATCAAAAATTGACCAGGCTGTAATTTGCAAATTAATACACCGCTTTTGCTGCTGCTTTATGCTCTGTGAGATCATGAGCACTAATGAATGCAACCATGTGATATTCCATACAACAGACTGCGACCTCTTCCTCCTGTTTCGCAATGCTATTCAGCTCCTCATGCATAGCAAATTACATACCTGTACAAACGCATACTCATCCTGCACCACCAGGGAATTGGGGTCAATATAGCCTGGAAATGGCTTGCCTTTGTTAGCGTCCGTGCAGTTCTGAAGTCTGCAGGTAACGTATTGAGATTCTGCAACAGACATTGAGCGAAACGCTGATATTAGCCACGAAGCTCCGCAGACGTCACTGACATTCAATCAGAACCTCACCTTAATTGCATCAATAAGCGGGCAGTGGGGGAGCAGAAGCCGCCAAAGGCCAATTGCTATCTTTCCCCTCAATCAGAGATGCGGCGCCAAACGAGTCTCTGTGTGTTAGCTTCAGCCAAACACGTGTCCGTTTCTCGGGAAGCAGCTGATCGATAGTGATGGTCAAATATACCGAGTTCATTCGCTTGACACTTCGCTGAGATCTTAGGGCAGCCGCTGCCACCAGGGCTAAAGAATTGCCAGTTGTTTTCCTGTCAGTTGTGTTCTACAGGCAATAGGATAGTTGCCTGAATAGAAAAATACCAAAAAAGCCCATCTCCGGATTCAAATTGGCATTTTGATAATTCTTCTTTTTTGGTTTTTTAAGGTAAGTATTCTGTGACTACTGTCCTATTAAAATAATTTTAATGTGTATTGAAATTTATGTTGATTAATAGACACATAAAAA